TCCGTTCAATGTGGATGACGATTTAACAATAGTATGTTATTGTGCGTGAAGTGGTTTAATTCAGGAATATTAACTCTGCTACTATTTTGTGTCAATAATAACTTAGTTCTTTTATTTATTTTTTAAACAGATGACTGATTAATATGTGGGTAGTTTTTTTCGGATTTTGTCACAAATACTTCCTGTTAAAGTCGAACGTAATAAGAAATTATTTAAAAAATATATGATAAAGTTAAGGCAAATTTCTAATCTGTATCTTTGAATGAAAGAAATATGAATGAAATAAATTTTTAACGTGTATATGTGGAGAAGATACTTTTATGTCCTTATGGAAATTGACGATTACAAGAAAATAGGTTGACGACATAAAAGATGGATGTACTATATGAAAGAAGAGATACCTAGCTTAAAAGAGTTTAAGCAGTCAAAGGACGAAAGGTAAAGTAGAATTGCAGAACAAAACTTCGGGTTTAAGAAACTTTATTCTCATAAAGAATTACTTATTCACTTACATGAGAACACATTTTGAATGCGATACAGTCATTTGAGAACTTATTGAGAATTGAAATAAAAATAGGATAAGGGTAGGCAGACGAATTTCGCAAAGGAAATAATTACGAACAACTATCATATTAAACGGGATCAAACTTGTTAACGTTTTAATTGGTCTTAAGTATGGCAAGATTTTGACTATATCAATAATAAATCCATATATATTATATAAGGGGGAAGATGACTACATATTCTAAATATTTAAAATAATATGGTCTATTATTCTTATCAAATAGGATATCCTTAGCTAATGACCTACGAGCCTCACATTTAAATACCAGTCGATCTAAGACGTACCACGATGACAAATACTTACTTATTGCAGTAATACAATCTCATACACGTCCACAACGCTTGACTAACGGCGCAAGATTCCTATGCTAATTTAGAATACGCAACACTGTGTACAGCCGCAGTTTTGCGCATGCGCGTCTGAGGATGTGCGTACGAGTGTGCGGCTTTTATGCTCAGCTTAATCAGTGTCTGAGCTTCGACATGCGTTATTGAAACGAAATTAAAACACATGGTTCGTTATTATGGGTTTTAATTAAAAGGAAATAGTATGAATGGACACTGGTAATGTATTTTGTTTCCTGTATTTATAATATAAATGTAAGTAGAGAGGAAACGAGAAAGAGAGATAGAGAGTAGAAAATTGTTACGAGACCAATTAAGAGAAGGCTAGCACTTATTCTTATGGACTCCAAATTAAAAAAGTAAAGCACGTAAATAAAGTAAGTATTTTCGTCCCTTGTTTAACCTACCTAGAAGTGTATCTAATCTAATGTAACCTCGAAAATGCTGATCTAATGACTCAATTCATGTACTTTCAAAAAAGTTTATAATATTTGTATTTATACATCTGCAGATTGCAAAAGAACCACCCACAAGAGTAATTCTAGCCTTTGGCATTGTTAAGGGCATTCAACTGATGCTAGAACGATAGACAACGCCTGCATACATAGATACAGATAAGATCAATTGAAATTATCAATCATTTACTCTAAGCCTCTAAGTATTATATTAAGCAAGTTTTTGTCTTATAATGTGTGTTTTTAATTTCACGGTTGGCTTATAAACTTTACTTTATGTTTATGTATAATTGCTAAGCTATTGTATTTGTATTCATTTAAAGTAACAAAATAAAATGTACATGTACTATGTAAAAATATGCATATTAAAATGTATTCTTTTGACATAAAAGTCATGTTTTCATTGTTGCAATTTAATAATAACTGCTAAATTTAATCTGCATTATACTCGTAGTAATTATATCACACTAAGTTATGAGCGTCATTCAAGAAACCTAAAATAGATAAATTCATCGTGAGTGAAGGGCCTTAGACTATAATTGGACCATTATGACCAAATACGGTGAAGGTTCTCGAAACGTAACAGTAGCGTTAAGTTGATTTGAATATTAAGCCACCAGCTGTATCGATCTAAATCTATTCTAAACATATTTTTACGATGGACATAGAAATATTTGTGATTAATTTTCAGGCATTGTGATTTAATTTCACCTCTGGGCTCCAAAAGATAAACAAGTCGTTTCAAGGTCAATGTGTCCGATTTTATAATAAAATCCCAACTAATATTCAAGACTTAAGTAGTAACAGATTTAAATCCGCAATTAGACGTAAATTATGTCAGAAAGCCTGTTATTCAATTGTAGATTACATACAAGACAAAAATGCTTTTGAATAATTTAGCGCAGGCTATTTCTTAAGTGGAAATGTGATGTAGGCTAGTGTGTTTATTATTATATATTTTTTCTATTTTTTATGTTTCACTTCACTTACTCTTTAAGTCCTTAATATCGGACATACTGGCACACATAAAAACAATGTTGTGGTAAATTACGATGCCATTGTATCTATTTGCAAACTGCAAAAGAGTGGCCATGAGTTTATTTGCCCTTTTTTCTCATAAGGCTCAACCCCTTGGAAACGGGCGGTTGTAGATCGGCACAGACATATCCTAGATTTCGTATAAGTTTAATTTTTATTCAATTTATTTTGCTTACTATTTGAATAAACAGAGATTGTTGCTATTGTATGTGTTGATCTATGACTTTAGATTTTATATAAGAGACGATTTCAAACAAAATAAAGATATTTTGAGTTTGAGTCATATCTTAATATTAAAAATAAATCTAATATCTCAGTAAAAAACAAGCTAAAAACGATTTGCCTGTGTTTGCATCATTTCTAAATATATATGATGTTAAAGAAACCTATCAAAATAAAATAACAGAGCATGATCTTAATACGGCAGATATTTTGATATTATCCTAATACATATTTGCTTTGTAGTGCTAATGAAGTACGGTTCCGTTTATGGCATGTTGTGTTACTCGCTTAACTTTGGATAAACCTAAAAAGGTAAGTGTGAGTGACACTGACAGTACAAAAAACAAAGTCGGTTCAACACTGCAATTGCAACACTGCAATTTTTCGTTGACGAATCCTAAGTCCTTTCTTCCACTTTATCATGGCTCTGAAATTTTAGTCTTTCATTATAGTAAGTAGACTCAGACTCAATCGGAATAATTAAATATGTAATAAAATGAGTTCTTCATTCATACAAATTTTTAGAAGCAAAAATATCGTGTATCGATTTTTAAAAAAATTGATAACTCGCAAGTGGCATCCCTACTTTTTAAGGTTTCATTGTCTGCAGTAGTTCTTTTAGCAGATTTTTCAAATACTAGGCTACCATATTGTCGGTATTAGCTGATGTATTGGGTATTGGGGATGTACACAGTGGGTTTTGATTTACTGGCGAAGTGTTAAAATTGGTTGAAATACTAATAGGTATAAATTACTTTGCGAGGCCATAGAAAATTCTACTGCAACTTCATGCCCCTAGTGCCCAACGAATTGTATTCCGGCTTAGGTCACGAAAGTACCTACTTTTTGTTTCTATATTATGTGTGATTAATGTATATGTAAATGTGCATATCAATGAACAAAAGAAAGCCAAAAATGTTTGCCCTGGGATCCATAATGATAACTATACTTAGTTTGGATCTAGAAAGAAGGTTTATCTCCGGTATATATGTTGTATCTTTGTGTAATGATTTACAGTTAAATTAAAACTATGGTTTGAGTGACAACACATTTTACACCTGCTGTAGCTGAAAAGCTAAGAATTTTTTAATTTATCTCCAAACATGTTGTATTGTAATAAATATAGGTGACGAGAAAAAAGTTACTGACATTACTTCGCGTTTAGAATATACCCTTTGAGTACGTGTTAATGTAAAGCGATCACATGCTATCGTTCGTCAACAGTAATTAATCGTTCAGTGTAATTGCGAGGGTACTTTTTTGCATCGATGTTTAAAAAAAATATTTACCTACTGGCTAATGGTGTGGCAGTTAAAATGAGGTTTAGGCTTTATCAACTATTTTGTTAAATTTATTTTGACATAATTGTTTTTAGCATCGTAGATAACCTTTAATAACGCCAGTAAAGTGCAGCGAGTGTTTACTTTAGGTTTAAACAAACAATGAAAAACACACTTCAGAAATAAAATTTAGTTTCAGTATATATATATTTCAGTTTATAGATATATATATTTCAATCATTTAAGTGTGATATTTCATATACATTGAATATAATAGGGTAGAATTATAATAACAGCGTAAAGTAAAAGAAAAGAGGAAAAGTAAAAAATAGTCACCTTTCAAGTAATTATCATAAAAATACAATGCCAAATACCTATTAAATATACAATAAATGTAGCTGAAAACACCTGCATCTAGGCAGCAGGCAGTTTAAAATTGCAACATTTAAACCCCATTTAAAAATAGTAGTAGCACAATAAATTACAACGTATTCGCACCACGCTACAAGTTATTTAAAGCTAAACCAAATGAAAAATAGCTGTACCATCCCCTATATTTTATAGTGGCTAAAAGTTACTATCAATAATTGAAGTTGGTGTCTCAAGGGACTTGGGCTTAGTGGTATTTCTGACATGTGGGTACTTTTAGTTGGCGGGTCAGTTGATATTGAGTGTGTACGTGCCCTTACCAACTGGAGTAAAGGTTTTAAATGAATGTTTATTGAAGAATGAAGAAGTCGTTATTGATAAAGCCTGATTTACATTATCGAATTATGACGAGTATTAGCAGCTTTGAGTGCTAATTATGAACTGTTTAAAGACATTTAGGTACTGAATAGCTCGATCTCTTCTAATGATTAATTATGTTGGTCCCTCCTTCTCCGTAGCTGGTGTGCTAACTAAAGCATTCACGCAGTGCATTGCAAATAGGACCATGTAGGTAAATCGAATACAAATAAGTACTCACTCAGGAGCTACACAACTCTAATTATCACATGTGTGGTTGGTTTCACCAGGTACTAAAGTTGTGTTGAAATTGCGAAGTGTAAACAGTTAATAAAACATACCATTATTAATGTATGATAAATTGTAAAATATGACTAATGTTGAAATGGAAAGAGTGCCTGAAAACGGATCAATCTGTGATGATAGCACAGAAGAGGGTGCAGATGAAAATAATCCAGGTTCTTCTAATAGATTAAAGACCAAGAAAACCAAGAAACGAGGCATTGTTTATCTATCTACAATACCTCCATATATGAACGTGGCTAAGATACGTGAAATATTCAGTGAATTTGGTGAAATCGGCCGGATATACTTGCAGTCCACAAGCAAACCTGGTGAGAAACGGAAACGAGTACCTAACCAATTTTCAGAAGGATGGGTAGAGTTTCAAAAGAAGAAAGTTGCTAAAGAAGTTGCAACCAAACTAAATAACACAAAGATTGGTACTAGAAAGAGGTCACGGTACTATGACATGATATGGAATATTAAATATATTCCACGGTTCAAATGGATTCATTTGAGTGAAAGACTGGCTTACGAACGAGCTGCAATGAAACAAAGGCTTAGAGCTGAAATATCTCAGGCTAAGAAAGAGGCTCACTACTTACAAACAAATGTTGAAAAGAGTAAGAAAATGAAGAAAAAAAAGCTTGTAAAGGGTGATGAATAAAAAAGTAATAAAATAAGTAAGACCCAGTCAAAAAGTCTTCAATAAATGCACAACAACAAGTATCTACATACTCCGTACCTTACAGTGGAACAACTACTGCTACGCGAGCCATGTGATTATTTGTAATGTAAAATCAACTTAATCATTCATATGCCAAATATGTCTTATCCTCAATTAAAATACCAATGACATGACTTAAATTAACTTCCAATATAAACCAGTTTTAATAAATCTACTTCCAAAACGTATGATTGCACCGAAGCCTTGAGCATCCAATACCGTGGTGGCATTTTGTGAAACACGACGCATACTGCATGCGAAACTTGCGCATGCGGCAATGAGACCTACCTCCATGCAATCCTACTATTACTTATACCTTATCGGTTTGCAGTCATAAAGTACAGGGTGTTTAAAGGTTGAATTAAAGTGCTGTAGATTTAAATATTCCTATCTAAATGTCACCTTTTTTATTAAGAGGACTAACTATGTGTCATTGTCTGAGTGGGAAAATATCTTTAACTTACAGTTTCCATTAATTGGTCATGCTGGAACTTAATTCGTAATGTCTAAATCTGACAATAGCTAAATTCAGATGATTCGTCAACGCACTTTTTTTTTACTATTGCAGCTGCGATAAGCGATATGCTCTCTTAGGGTTTGAAAAACATAAAGTAAAAAACAATTGAAATTATGTAGGCGGTTCGGTAGCATTTTTTATTTAAATCTTTTCTATGAAACACGAACTTATCAAAACTAAAGCTCTAAATATTGTTTATTACTCTCTATAATAGTAACGCCACTAAGGTAGCACAGCGGTAGTGGACAGCGGTCAGCATAACCTATTCATGAAGGTTCTGTTGATATGAGTCTGATATAGCCGATTCTTCCTTCATTAAAAAAAGGTCATGTAAAAATTATAGGAATTTCGACCCTTATTTATTATTATTATTATTATTAATACCTTTTAGGTTTTTGTATGGATTCTTAATTAAGACCTGGAAGAAGCTGGAAGAAGAAGAACAAAGAGCTATCATTTTACAGGTCATTGTATTATAGTTATTTACATACAATTTCTATAGGAGCAATTACAACAACCTTATATAATTCAGATTAGTTAATTATCAGCGAATTGATTATTGAAAAATATCATTGTCATTGTAGGCAAACGAACTACACGCTGTATATAGCTGTATGAAGTAATCTTTATATAGTACATCTGCAAGATTTTTGCAATCTCATCGCGGCCATTACAAGCGTCGACCAACCCGGCGTCAGCTAATCCCTTTATTTGTTCCTTTTGAGCCATTCAAGTTTTAGAAGTTTATTTTTGTGTACCCTTTATGCATATTTAACTTGTGTAGGTAGTCGGGGTCCGTGCAACTTGATTGTATCTGTTGATCTCGTTTCGTTGAAAAATGTAAATAAAGTATATGTACAATTAAATATTTATTTATTTTAGGACTTCTGATAATAAATTGTATGAAACATTTATGACACTCCTGCTCTTTTTACTTCATTTATTTTTAAAGGTTTTTAAATTTAGAGGACCTAAAATTAGGTTTATACCTATAGTAAAACTAAACTCACGTACGTAAACTAGAATACATCATCGGTACAAATCACATGCATTTTGAGAATTATGGATATAAAGGTAAAAATACACGCATGAGTGTGAATATGTTAAACACACACATTTGACATTTTATGTGTATGTACATGTTTATGTATGTGTGATGTACGAGCGGGTATGATACGCTGGATCGATGTATTTGTTACGTAACTTCAGTGCAGAAAGGAATAATTCGCATATATCAATTCATGATTATGTTGGTGTTAAATGAATTATATACAAAAACAATTAAGGGTTTGGCAAGTTATTAGTAGAAAGTTTACACTTACACAATGACATGTGTTTTCAAACTGTTAATTCTAGTGATTTTTTTTACTGTCTCGTCAGAATGAAATTGCTAAATGCTCGACTATTACTTACAATGGTTTGTATTTTTTTATGTAAAAATGGGTACTGAGCTATCTCCATAAAAAGTAAGATTTAGTTTTTTACATAAATAGTGTACGTATACTATGATTACTAGAAGCTACAACGAAGGCTAATTACAAAAGTACAAAAAGAAAATTAAAACACGAACAGTTTTAAGTGGAGACTACACTCGCATACCTTTAGCATAATATAATTCGAGACATAATTTACCGCGGTCGGTGAGACCAAACCACTTGATTTATTTATGAGCGCACACTGGTCGGTACTAATCTTTACTGGAATTTAATTTGTTATTTATTTACTAATCGCTGCTAGAACAGGTTTGCATATTGTTATGTTAATATAATATATGTCTGTAGTATTCTAGACAGTGTATATTTATATAGACTTTGTTTAAGACAGTAAACTTTGTTAAGCCTATGTCTATTTTCTGAGGAAGCTACTTACTTAATTCTCTTATCTACCAATTTGCAGTGAGTTTCATTCTAACATTATATTAAACACTAAAAGTAAAAAAAAAATGTGGGTGTACTTGATGTAGTATTAACGATAGACCACCTTATTGATAGAAAAACTGTTGTGAGACAGCCAATATAAGTGTATTGAAGACAGGCCATAAATATATAAACCGATATTGTATGTGCTCATGTACTTTATAAACACTACTTGATTAAGCAGGTCATTTATGACTGGTTTTATTAATACTTTAACCTCTCTAAAGCAAATCGTAGGCACATCATTAAATTTTACACTTACTTTCTCCTCACCCATTATGGTTAGCTAATGGTTACTTATTCTAAGGTAAGTCGGTCCACGACGTAAACTACTGTGTGTACACCAGTGTAGACTGGTAAACGGCTAAGGCCTCGTGGCTTTATCATAAACAGGTTTTGCTGTACCCAGTTATCTATTAAAAGCAAACATATAGTATATTGTTAAGATATTAGTAGGTACTAGATATCGTATAGTCATACCTATAATGGTGTCTCTTATTGTTATCGGGGCCAGCTTCTGATTCTAAGGGGTTTAGTTAAACAATTTTTTTACTATCATCTTCAGCTGTTAGATGAAGATGTAAAATATTCTCAATAATTAAAATAAAGACTGGTTAGTTACACCATTTATAACTCAAGAACGACTGGATCGATTTTCATACTGTTAGATTGTTTGTTTTATCTCCGCCTCGAATAGCAGAATAACTATTAAAATATTGTGTATGAAACCTAACACGGATGATGAACAGAGATGTGACTATTATAAACATATGTGAAATTGTAAGGAAACTACTAGGAATACCTACCTATGATATAGGTACTTAGTTACAAATGTACCTATACCTAAGTACGAATTCATATTTACTGTATGATTATGTTTAAAGATATTATAGATAACACTTATCTTTACTTTCAATTGTCTCAAAATTTATCAAACAAAGTCATAGTGTATTTTTGTTTGATTTTACGATGTAATTGTTAATTCGATCATTTGTTTGTGTATTACTATGAGTACCGTTAATTTAGTACTGGTATCTAAATCTATCAATAGTTAATGAAATATAGTTTCATAAACAGAATAATGTTGTGTGTTAAATATTGAACATACTGTATATACTCGTAAAACATATTTAATTCTGTTTTATGTTACAAAATATCATCATAATTTATCTATGAATAGTTATTATGCATAACTTAATTATGTAATATATGATTTCTAATATATTTGAATATGGGAATTTATGTACAAAATATTCTTATAAGTGCAAAGAAGTTTATACTGGTGATTAAGTGTAGATATAATAGCCTTATAAGGGTACCTTATTATAAGTTGCATAAGTACCTTCGTCAGTACCTAAGTCACAACCTTTAAGATTTTATACGTACGGCCAATTTCCTAATTGCTCATCTATTATTTTAATGTCTGTGAGTACGGGAAGGAAAATCAACAAGCAGAAGTCTCCTAAAGAGTTAATAACCCTGGTGGATCAGAAGTGTTTCTATCAAAGTGTTACTAACTTTTAAACTTTCGCGTTCCATGATAATTAATATTATTTAACGGGAATTAACGCGATCTCTTATTTAGGGTATTACATACCTCTGGTTTGCCTGACGTTTCGACCAGGTTGCACCGGCCGTGGTCACAGGCTGACTCAGTCAGCCTGTGTCCACGGCCTGTGTCCAGCCTGTGACCACGGCCGGTGCAACCTGGTCGAAACGTCAGGCAAACCAGAGGTATGTAATACCCTAAATAAGAGATCGCGTTAATTCCCGTTAAATAATATTAATTATCAAAGTGTTTATGACAATCGAAGAATGCGACTCGATTTCAAGTTGTTCTTACAGAAAAATTATATGTGCAAATAATCAAATGATTCAAACAAACAAATGTTATTGGCTCAAGTTTTATATTAGCGTTTTCCTTCTTTGTAGTTTAAACTTTTTGTTGATAAATATGTGTCAAGGAAAAACCGAGATGCCGGTAAACCCTACATAATGTTTCCAATAAAATACCTTGTTCGTTCCTATTAATTTCCAGTAGATTCTTTGCACCAGATGGTGGCCTCGATGCTTTATTTGATCCACTGGTCGCGTGACAGGCCCTATCTCCTCCTCGCACTACTCTAACCGCCAACAGTACGTCATCAGGCTAATTTGTAGCGAGCCGCCTTCCGATGGGATCTAAAGGCGGACCGATTTACCGAAAGGATGACCGGGTAGGGTTCTGTGTCTTGTACTCCCAAATAAACCAAAGAGCTGCTTACCTACTTAGAAGGGTGTAGTTATTTCTTACAAAAGTCTAACTTTACATCAAAACAAAGAAAATAGTTTTTCTGTCAGAATTATTTGCGAATATGAAAATAGTCAAACCAAAATTATTTAGAATTGTCGAGTTGGTAAAAGAATCGTTGAATTATGTTGTCTAGACAAACTTAACTAATTTTATATTCATCACAGATAAAGTTGAGTAAGAAACCACTTGCGTGAGGCTTTCCTTATCGCTGGTTCGAGAGTTTCTGGCAAAAAATAGCAATGTTGAATTTTGCTATAGCCGGCAAACTAAATATTTGACAGTTGCGCAGACTTATAAACTATACTTGTAGTTATAAAACCAGTAATTGCATATTATTTTTATGCACACAATGATGTGAGGTCGATGACTTTAGTTGCTTCTAATGATAATATTGGAGGCTACCAAATATAACATTAACATAATATTGGTAACAGTCACATAAAACGTAAAGAACCTTGACAAGTAAAAATGCACAGGTACTTTCATTGACAAGACCTCAACAGTCCTTATTTAAAATCACTATTTAAAATAATAATAAAATACCTATTACCTATATAGCCGCCATATTAAATATTTATCAAAACACTGGTTGATGGTGATGGTGCAATACATACATTAGCCCTGAAAACATGAAGTACAATCCTTTCGAGCAGTTGTGAAAAAATAAACCAAATTAAATGATAACTTCAGTTAGTTTCATTAATATTAAAGTTATAAAATTTAACTATCCTGTCTTGCATTTTCTGCAACCAAGTGCTTGATACTTAGTTGACAGTTTCGCTTAAAAAGTTTGTTAGCTTTGAAAGTACGGCTATTATTCATCTGAACCCCCTTTGTGGACAAGCAAAGGTAGACTTTCTTGTGTTTCTATCTATCACTTATTATTTTAATCACAACTACAATCAGGCTCACAATGATACGGCTTCATTCTAATTTAACGTGTTAATACGTTGGACGAGTATGTAACTAGTGCTAAATAACAGTGTATTGAATTCATATAAGCCGTCAGACGGCACGCACAGAGGGTGGCTTCTACTTCTTGAGTTATTACCACAAAACATGTAAGGGCTGCGGCCAAGCCCGCACGCGGACTGTATTTGCATACTTCGGCTGGTTACATTCGTACGAGTAAACACGGTTCAATTTTACCGACTAAACTAACATCGACGTATTTTCTTTAACCAGAAAATTTGTTATACGATACATTTCCTCTCCTGGTCTCTTTCCTAATTTCAAAACCTACACTTGGAAACTTAGGATCGAAGCTCCTTATCGCGCGTTATACGCTCTAAACTATATGCCAGCAGATGGGAGCGAGACCGAAAAATGTGTAACAAGATTTTTTTCCGACACTGTAGCAAACGTCTACCAAAAAAGGAAAGGAACTTCTTGCCGGCCGGGTGTTCATAGACCCCTTATTTAACAATTATAGTATGACCATGGCCTATGATTCACGCAGTGTTCTTTGGGAGAACTGTGATTTCCATTACAGCATGACACATTGTTATATTACTGATAAATTATTTTTCCGCTATTACATATGTATCTACTAAGAACCATATGGGTTATTTATGAAGTCCACCTACGCGGTATTTAATAAAAAGGTTGCTTTGTAATAGAGTTGTATTGCATACGTAATAACTTATGATATTGATTTAGCATTGTATCTAATAGTCTATTCAACTAAACTAAAATTCAAATAGTCTAGTCTAGTCAACGAGTTAATTCAACTATCTGGATAGTAACAGAAGTAAATACAACAACGATATGTTTATGTTGTTATTAGAAGAAACGTTAAAGTGAGTGGTACGATGTTTACTGACTACACCAAAATTATATGAATCTTTAGATCGGCGTGATTTAGGTAATTGGTGTTAACACTTGCCAATTGATTTCTAGAAAATGTTGTTATTCGATTTTTCTAAATTACCTAGCCTCGACGTTCATCGTATTGTAAATGTGAACATTAAAAACGCATAGGTATTGCAAAGACTATTTCGCTGGTATGCAATAGGCCTAACAACTGTATTGTACATTTTAATAAGGCTTTGACAAACCTCCAGACACGGTATATGATAGCACGATTTGAATGTTAGAGAGTACATTAATGTTTATTTTATTAGGCAGTTCTTGTGACTCCAAGCCTACAAATTTTGCATTAACGATTGTTTTAATGATTTAAAATTTATTTGTAAATCTAGCTTAGCGATTAAATGACTGTTTAGATTACCTAAGAATATAAACTATTACAACATCGGTATTTAAAATCATTTAGAGCATTAAAAAGGCATTGATTTCTTAGACTTCTTGTCTGAAAAAATGGATCTATATAATTGCGTTGAATAAAATATACGACTAAAGAAAATCTAGATTTTATTAAATAGAGTATCTTTTCAAAAGACAAAAACTAAAATAAAATTTAAATTTAAATGGAATTACTAAAAATCGATAGGCATTTAATAAATTCTCGACAGACCGAGAGATAAACTTTCTTAAACTTTTAGGTCAGTTAAAACAATTCTTTTGTCATGATTTTTCTACCAGTTTACAAACTACCAGCTAATAGTCCCATTACTTTAGAAGTAATGATACTATTAGCAAATTATCTAAATAATTTAAACTAATGCGTGAGAACCCTCACACGCTTGTTAAACCCTTTCAGGGTCAATTTCAGTTCAAAACAGTTTACAAGATCATAATGCACAATTTAAACGTAGATATATTGTTCGTCTCAATAAGTAACAAATACCTTAAAAATACATAGAATGTTGTGGAAAATACGGTAATTTTTATTAGTGACATAAATAAGCTTCTGCAAAAATAAACCAATTAAAAGAGCGGGGTGAACCTTGTCAAGGCCGCAGTGGATTTGTTCTACATATAACAATACTGGAACGATTCCCCGAAGCAGTGGGCCGCCAACATCTGCTCTTGTCTTTATATCGTGACATCTTAGTGACAGGCGCTCCACCATCCTGCATCTTGTTACGTATTATTATCTACTTGATAGATCTCTTTTTAATTTTAGACTAATTTTTTGTTTTGTTTTTCCTACAGTGCCTAGATCTACGTTGCGGCTCTTAAGAATTCATTTAAGATCTGATTATATTTCTAGCAATTCCGCCTTTTAGTAGCATACGATTAGAATTCATAAATAAAAAAGCATGAAAATAAATAGCTCATGGTATGCTCCCACATTCTAATTTAAAACAGATTAACCCTTGAATAACCCAATTCACGCTTTAAGGTTATATCCGTTAAATAAAACGTCACGGTGACTCTGCACTTTCCCCATCATTAGGATACGTGAAGAAAAAAGGCTTCGGATGTTCAGTTGTAAGCGCCCGCCAACAAAGCCATTATGCCTTATTATGGATACCATCCATCAGCCGACCATATCGATCCAACATTAATGCATGTTAATGCTTTATAAATAGATATATAATTTGTTTTGTCTCCACCTCGGCATCCAATTGATGGATTGTCTTATTTCTATTACATCAAACTGTTAGTTTTTGATGAAGGCAGGCGTGGTCATCGCTGCCGTTATTAGTTTAGCGGATGAAGCTTAATCGCTTTGGATTTCACGCTAGTGATAAAAAAGTGTGAATAGCTTGTTGTTTATAACGGAAATTATTCTCGTGATTCGATAATAATAAGAGATGAAAATTAGAACAAAATATAATTACTAAAGTTTTTCTACTTACTTTGTCCAAGATGTACACGCTTCATCCAGGGGTATATTTGCGGAGGATTTGCTGAAGAGTTCGATGTCGACGACTTAGAATTCTTCGTGTTGTTTGATCCGGAGTTGTTCGCTTCATTACTTTCGTTACTAGAGGTACTAGAAGCAGGGCTTGATATATTCTGATTCACATTAGCTTTGTGCTCCACAGGAGATGCGATCGGTGTAGTCAAACCTAGTTTGGTGCTAGTTCCACTTGAATTTTGTCCAACGCCTCCAAAGCCGGGTGAGGTCCTTCCAGGTCCTGAAGATGTAGACAAGTCTTGAGGCGATGCTACTCCTGTCGTGGATGTAGAATCCGCAAATTTACAACTTGCGCTAGTAGCTTGGCTAGGCGGTGTTGACATCAAGTTCGGAGATAACGCTCCAGGACTTGGATTTGAGTGTTGATGCATATGACTCGTAGAACTACCCAATCTTTGTGGATGTAATTGGGTGTAGTCTATCATTGTTTGAGCCTGCATGTGAGCCCCAGAAGCAGGTGTCCCGTAAGGGTGTTGTGGATAATGATGTCCCACTTGTGGTGGAGAGTAGCATGCATTAGGGTACGCCGTCGCTGCTGCATTGGGATTGTAATAATCGGCTCCTGGTGTTGGTAAGCCCGGATGACCAGCCTGTTCAACGGGCGTCCCAGTACGCCCTGGCCCTTGATTCCCATAACAGGAGGCGAGCGAGTTGACGAACTGGTAGGAGCTCATCCCTGCGTTATAATTTAATTCGTTCATCGATAACAGTGTATTCTGTCTTCTTTCTCAAGATCACTCGACACTTGTCATCGCTTGGACGAGCACTGAATAGCCTAGTTGGACATGTTAAGTGCTACTGATGTTCGCGGTCCGCTTCAATTGTCCCCGTAGAGTGGAGCTTGATTGATGGACCTGTGATAAAATGAGACACATTAGTTGGTCAAAAGCGTCGCCTCGTTATACATGATAGATGTTGTATCGCCGATGATATCTTAAGTGTTTGATTTAAATATCCATTGTGTTATACCGAATATGATTTATATTTTAAATAATTATATTTAAGTGATACTCTAGAAAATCTGTGTATTTGTGTAGCAGAAATGTTAAAAGTTTATAGTGTTGTGATCTGAAGTAACTGTTTCATATTAGACATAAAAACAGAAATCCTTTTATCTGAGCTTCAAGTATTCGCCAGGGTGGGCTATAAACACCGTTGATAACGTAAGTTAAAACGCGGTTAGTTTTACGGTCACTTTCGTTTTTACGCCGTACTCTGAAGTAGAGTTACATAAATCACTAAACACGTGTACCACTTGCATGCCACTGGGGGTCTATTCTAAAACAATAAATTAATATGGGGATGTGACTTCCTAAGGCACAGTATACACATGTCAAGTCAAGTGCTGAAAAAATTGTGTCTCCGCCACGTGGTAGGGCTATAAAAGTGTCCGCAGAGGTTTATGGGTGTAAGCGGTAGGCCAAATCTGACTTCGTCGGATTTATGAACCCGCTCGGTGCATACATCTTTATGAGCAAATTAGCAGTCATTGTGCATCCGATTTATTTGTCGCGTTGACTTACTCAATGACAAATGTGGGAATTTTGGTCGGTCATTGGTGTAATCATAAATTATATGCATTTGAAAATGTTTTTAATGTAATACACATTCAGACTGCAATTTGTGTACGAAAATCAATCCTTCATACTGGTTTTATCACATTAATTTAAACTGTATTTTATTTAAAAAATGATAGTGGCTTGTGTAATACTTATTTTTTTTCTTAATTTTGCTTGTTCTTTCTAAATGTACTTTTAATGATTTATTTTATTACCGATGTCACCACATAGTTGTTGTGTGATATTATATCACTTTATTAATATTGTATAATATGATATAATGTTATGACATATGTATTTGCATGCAAGAAACCTGCTAAATACCAAGAAGAAAATGTTTTCAAATAATTTTATAAAGTATACATTTTTTTAGTTTATTTTTAATTTATTATTATTTTGGGTACCAGTTTTTAACCAAATCATTGTACAAAATTAGTAATGAACTGTGTAGTGTCTTATTCATGATGGTGAAGATACATTTTATTAATATGTAATTTTTGTAGAAATAAATAACTTAATTATTTATTCTTATATCATATTCTTCTTTAACCCAAGTTTAGTGAATCTTGCATAATTTTATAGATACGCATTTAAATTGATAAACAGCAATATATTCGTAATGAAATAAATAAAATGGTAGTGTATTAAAATATATATTTTTTTATGGGGTTATCTGTCCGATGGTTTTACTAAATCCCTTTGATATCTAAAGGTAAACTTACACATCCTACATATAGGTCTCTTAACCATCTTTAAAAAAGTAAATAACTTAAAGAAAAAAATAGTTAGTTAAAAGTTAGTGTTTTCTTTTATTACGAATTCAATCAACTGTTTCAAAATATTGACAAGAATTAGTTGAGATGAATTATTATTAATAAATAAAGCTGGAATATCACTACCAATAAATAGGAATGGAATATATCAAATTGTACTACAACTCATATTTTTAAATGAATTGTCCTTAGGAAGAATTAAGTTATATACCTAAATTGGTTTTAACTTGAAGTACCTACCACCTAAATAGAACATGAACCTACCTACCTACCATCTTTTATTCTATAATAAATACATATTAACGTAGTTTATATACCTTAATCTCAAAAGATTATAAAAATGGTTGTTAAATCACTTTTTTATTCATATAAATTGTAATAAAAAATACAAAAAAAGATTACTATAGGTTTCATTTCATATTTTAAGTAATTAAATTATAGAGAATCTATAAGATTATCTAATTCCGTGCTCCTAATATCTTCAACCGATAGTAATTTTTATATCAGGCTTTAAACTTTTTTTTATATCAGGCTAGGTAAATGTGTTTTCCTATGTATTACCGAGGAAATAAACAATTTTAATCACAGTAAAAGTAATAACTGAACATAAAATCAAAAATACAATTCAGATTATTGGCCGAAGCTAAACAATAAGTTACCTAGCTTATACTGATTGTTTAGCTTCGTCTACATCATGTATTTTACTATGTATTACCTAGCAAATACCTAGACAATTATAATGAGACTAAAAATCATAGATCTTAATACAATTTGGATTATTTGTCACAAGCTAACTTATTGTTTAGCTTCGGCTACAGCGTGTGACATACAGACACATGTGTTCAGTTTATTTCAGTTTAGAATTTTTGTCACTCCCGTCCGGTCCACATTAAATGGGCCGAACGATTTCATTGCTTCTTGTTTTTTTAAACTTTTTTTTTCTTTTAGCGCAGTTGTTTATTCCCAGACATCCTTTGATGAGAATGCCCCAGAAGTCTGTTTCAATTTTAATTCGGCAGTTCGATAGTTTTTATTGTCGCATGTGGAGTACCTAAACACTAATATTATAGAGATTTAAATGTAGGTACCGTATTTATTAGATATGGTTGGAAGGTTCGTTTTTAATAAAATATTATAAACGAATCTTCCAACGTAGTTTGTTTTACTTCATTGTTTTGTTTAGAACCAAAAAATCATAAGATTTAAACTTAGAACATAGATCCCTATATCCTATAGTTAGTTTCTAACTAAATTTTTTTCATCGACTCTTAAACATTTTATTTTTTTATTTAACACTGAATGTGTAAGGAAGACACCTATTTCAAACAAATATGTTTACATCATTCCTACACATAAAATATGGCTCTCCAAATATAAAAAAAAAACAAAGATACTAAAAGTGAATTCAGACTATAAATGTTCTGAAATAAATACAAATGAAGCTATAAAATAACTTTAATAACCGCTAATACCAAAAGCTCTCTGGATATAATAACTTTTAATGTTCCGTGTCAAGTGGACAGTTCGAATCCACTGTGTCCTGGGAGATTTACTGCGATACGCTTTGATTTCTTGATTCGCGCTTTTCAAGTTCGATTTTATGAATTGCCGATAATTTTCTATATAACGAAGGATTACATTTAGGAAAAAAATAAAAATTACATTAGTTAATACTCACTCCTAGTCAAGGTTTTAGAGTGACCAACGGCGACACCAGCCAACTTTACGATAATCACAACCAATCTTTTCGTTGATAAGATCACAAAACATCCCACAAGTTTATTTCTCATACACTTCACAAAAAGATAATAATATATATTTTACCAAAAATCATAGAACAATAAAATTGACTGAAATCAAATACGACCGTTACTAGTCTTTTAAACGATCGAACTTCAAAAATTCGAATTCGGAAAACTTCGGTGCGTGTCCTCGCGGCGAAAAACGACTCGTGTTTTCCCGGCGTTCGAGCGTCGAGTGCAGCGCGCGTCTGACGACGAGGTGAGCGGCTGAGTTGAGTTGACGCGGCGTCAAACTAGAGGCGGGCGGGGCGAGCGGGGCGGGGCGCACCTGAGCCCGCCACGTGCGCTCTCGCGCCCGCTCCCGCTACCGCTTCACTATCGCCCCTCGCTTCTCGCTTCTCAGATTAGCGTAATTAGGGTACACCGTCGCAACACCACGTATCCGATTTCAATGGACCGATTGATGATTATGGATGGTAAACGATCGTCGGTTGCCGTGAACTGCAATTTCTTTACGATTTTTATTGTCTCTTCCGCGTTGAACACTTTATTGGGCTTTTATCGAGGTTTTTAAATATATATATTTATATTTCAACGACTTCTTGTAAAGATTTCTATTCGGTGCTAGGACTCTTTGTAGTTTATTATAAACATTTAAGACTTAAATAAATAGGCTAACTTGCTTTGCTAGCGATGTATTCAAAGGGCGATTACATTGTAACAACAATGTCTATTCTTACCTATCACCACATCATCACAGTTCAAATTTGCGAAACATATGCAAATATAATTACTTTCCCATTAACATAATAACAAAACAAAACACATATGCCAGAAGCAGTGCCATAACTCGTCAAGCAAAGTGCTTAGTCCAAGTCTAGATGAGCGGACTAGGGCCATGCATCACTGACATAGAGACGTCTTGGTGAGGAGTAAAAATTACCACACACCGCATAAATGTATTACTAGATCATATTTTCATAATCATACGCAAATGTATGCTAGAGAATTTTAAAATAGTTTCAGTTATACAATCGTAAGTAGCAGGTAGTAGATAGTACTTATAACTAAACCTATTCTTATGTTACGACATGGGTCTTAGATGAAAAATAAATTTAGGGTTTGATTTTCTTGAATTATGAGAGAGAGATTAAAGATGATCGTAGTTAAGACAGACCGAATGTGGACGGCAGTGGACCCAGTGCTATGGATATACATTTATATAATATATAATATTATCTAAAATAATAACAACTTATTAAATTCTGGAAACATACTAAAACAATATTATCTTTGTAAACAATAAATGCTTTCATTGGGAACTTTACATATTGTATAATAAACATTCGTGAACATATATATTAATAAAAGTAGCTTAATTATAATTAAGTGCTAATTATGGCGATGCTACGCCACTTGTATTAGGTTGAATGATAGTACTACGTAACCACGAATATTTTTCTTTATTTTTTCAAACCAGAATCAGGTACTGAGTTTTTAGGTAATGTTGAATTGAGATTTTAATACCACAATTTAAGTTAGTTTAATACCACAATTTGAACAAAAGTTCTGTCTAATACAATACGTTTTAATTATAATTAAGTGCATCGCTTTTTAAAGTAGCTGA